CTCTGCGTTTGGAAAATTGATGAGGGCGTTGTCTAGGGATTCAAATAGATGGTTCCTTAGTGTTGAATCGTTATTTTGTGGAGGGTGGTATACAGAGGCTACTACAATTGCATCAATTCCTCTTGGAAGTCTTTTTGGTTTTATCAAGAACCACTGTGATTCAATGTCGGGGTGAGATAAGTCTTTTAATTCTAGGAAGTCCAATGTATTTCTGATGTAGGTGCAGAGTCCACCACCACGTTGATCATCACATCGGTCTTTGCGAATACTTGAAAATCCGGGGATCTTAATGAGATCATTCGTAATGTTTGACGAAAGCCATGATTCTGTGATGATTGCAACATCACATTTATTATTAGTAATAGTTGCACTGATCTCATCCAGTTTATTAGCCATTGAACGAGTGTTGCTTAAGAAGAAAGTTGGGAAGTCATAGGATAGACGGGTGGTTGGAATCGTGATTAACGTGCGAGTAGTTGGACAATATTTAATACAATTCCAGCGAGGATGGAATTCAGAGTCGGATATTTGACAGTTTTGAATATTTAATGAGTCAGAAACAAGGTTATGAAAAATTGATGTGAGTGGTATTATGTTGGTGTTCAAAGTCATAGACTCGTAATATCCATGACTTGCCGTTCTTAAGTCATAATATGGCGTACAAGGTTCAGGTGATTGAGCCAATCTTGTGTTCGGCGATTCTTGATGTATTCCGGATGATTCTGTTTTACCAAACTGCCTCGACTCTTCCTGCGGTAGCGTTTCCGAAAAAAAGGACGGCTTTCAGTGCTAAACTTTGATTGTACTGTTTCAACGAGAGGCAAACGGTCTATCCATTCAGCAATCGTGGTACTCCGCGGTGCACACGGTTCAGTTTCTGCTATGGTATTAATGTGTTCCATTCTGGAACTGTTTCCTATTTCGCAAGTATTTGTTACGTTGTGGTCAATTGTTGGTGGTTGGGGACTTCGCTGGGTTAGATTACCATGATTAGCTTCACACATTGTTGATGTTTGTGCACTTGGCTGAGTTGAATAATTTGAGTTTTTTTCGGCGCAATTTGTTGGTGAGTGAGTAACGCATGGTTGAATTGAATTAGAGTTACCATGATTAGCATGAACGTTTATTGGTGTTTGAAAGCTTAATTGGGTTGAATAATTTAACTTTTCTTTAGCATTATCATTAGGCAGTACACGACACCCTTGGGAGCATCTAATCTTCACCCCTACGGTCGCTAGCTCGCCTCGAAGCTGTTCTATCGCTTGTCTGTTAGCCTCCAAATCTCTCGCAGTTTTCGATTCTATAATTACAACGTCTAGCTTGAGGCCTTCTATTTCGGTAGCCAAGTTGATATCAGCAGTCTGTATGACGGATGGGTGTTGAGCAACACTCTGCTCCGAGTACAGATCAGTTTGCGTGCCCAGTTCACAAGTACTTCGTTTGTCGTCATTTCTAGAATATTCATAATTTACAAACTTTGTATTCAACTGATAGAGATTATTGACAATCTCATGCAGCCCATCAATTTTGCGATTGACTTCAGTCATTTCTGCAAACAGACGACTACAATTTTGACACTCATTTGGTGACTCTCGTCTACTGTTGTTGACTAATACGATAGGTTCTTGTTCGCATGTATTGGCATGGTCGTGCGCCAAATCACTGTTTTTATAGCATTTTATAATCAGATCTTTTAGTTTATTTCCCTCCTCACCTTGAAAAAGCAAAGACTTTTTATTTGCATACCAGGTTAGGCAAATTTGATCGTGCCGAAAACACTTCGCTGATCCCCCAGGAGAATTCCATTTGCCGACATTGCCGTACAAACTTGACACAAAATCCTTTAGATAAGTTAAGTCCCCTAACCATTTTACTCTTCTGTCTTCGCAGCATTCAAGATATTTTCCGTATTTCTGCCAAATATAAGTGGAGTTCACATTTAGAGTGAGATCGAGTTCAGTATAATTGTTTGTGTTGCCGTCGTTCACAACGCTGTTCACAGCCATTGAACGCTTCACTTCACTCGGACTTCTCCGTTAATATGCGTTTTGAACCTTTCTAAGTTGATCTATGACGAAAAAATTTTTTCGATCAGCCAAAAATTTTCTAAGTGACAAGCCTAGCTTTATGCATGATGTTATGCTCTGAACATGAGAATTCCATGACAGATTTCCAGTCATAATTACCCAAAGATCTTTTTCTTCTTGACCGTGATGGAGGTTGGTTGAGCCAAGGTGGTAAGCAAAGGTGATGGGTTTCTTTTTGCGGGACACAGTTAACACTTTGCATTTAGATGCGTTGAATTTGATGTTATTGGTGTTGCTCCAGGTGGTTAGGTGTGTTAAGGTTTGTTGTAGATGTTGAGCATCGACCTCTGATGTTATTTTTCGGAAAGTCTTCGCATCGTCGGCATACAAGGCAGCATCTGAGTCTTCGGGAATGATGTTCGGTAAATCGTTTATAAATAAGACGAACAACAAAGGGCCGAGTATGCTTCCTTGAGGCACGCCGGACGTAACAGAAGACCAACTTGAGGCAACACCATCAATGACAACTCTTTGTGTCCGTTTTTTTTTGCTTGGAGATTGGCTGCTTTTAGGAGAACTAGTTGTATTTACATAACTCATTATAAGTAATAACATGACTAGAGGGAAATTAGCGATTAAATTTCCCGACGCCGAGGGAAGATTTGTGAAAGTCCGAGGGCGAAGCCCGAGGACTTTCACAAATCTTCCCGAGGCGAAGGGAAATTTAATCGCTAATTTCCCGACTAGTCATGTTATTAGTTTGTAATATTATGATCGCCGAGGAAAACTCAAAAAAGTTTGCTGCAGAGATAAGTTTAACTGTTTGATTTTGTATTTTTCAATGAAGTTGTTTATGAGTTTGACTATTGATTGAAATAAGTGTACCTTTGGGACATGCTTTGTTGTGAGACTTATGTAAATCACTGCATTGATTTTAAACTTTGTTCTCGAATATGGCTGCAACTGGAAGGTTCTATTTTGTGTCAGACCGGACAGTTGAAAATGTTCGAAAAGATAGAGTGCCAAAGAATACCATAAGGCACACTACGTGGAGTACAAATGTGTACAACGCGTGGGTTAACCCTATTTGTACCGGGGGTGCGCACAATGAGCGCACCCCTATAAATATTTATCCGTCATTCCTGAACAAATGATCCGATTTGCCTGTACTCTCATGACTTTTAATATTTTTCATCTGCCGTCATGACTGCGAAAAAATTTTTCTGAAAATTCAAAGTTATCCGGACGTTTGGCGACATTTGTCAAAGAAGGTGTCGGGGCCAAAAATGGGTAAATGGGGGTTGGACAGTATTTTTTGGCTTCAATCACTTCCCAGGTCATAAATAACATAATATAATTAGAGAACATATAAATATGGATTATTACACATGATTTGCAAAGTAAAATATCCATAATATATTATATAAAATAGTAAAATATAGTATAACATATAATATAGCATACTATACAATACTTATAATTATATAATATAAAATACTTATTTATAATATTTTTATATATTCAAATACACATACATATTTCTTTGTACCTTCAAGGCATAACATCTCCCTGTCTTTCAGCAAGAATCAAACTTGTAGGATGCATTATATATTGAACACTTTCGTACCAGAAATTCAGTTCCAAATGAGAGTAAAACATTTGCATACAATCCATATAAATGATTGCCATGATTTTCAAAGTAAATATTGTGTTTTCAAAACTATACTGCAGGCTCGTATCTCGTAGCTCACCTGCCTTACACTTCATGTAACACATAGTATATTGGTATAAAACATGGCTGCCATTTCGTATTTTTTCTACAAACTTTTATTGGTCGACATTTTATGTTTACACTGCAGAAGTTATGCCAAAAAAGTGCTAGAGCTTCAACAGAATGCACAATTGTGCATACTAAGAGAATAATGGAACATTATTTATACAACAATGACACTGTCACAAAGATATGAAGGTAAAATCAGTGATGTTGAAACTTGAAAATGATTTGGATTGTTTATATGAGAGACTGGTAAGTTTCAGTTGTATGTCTTTTCATATGGCACAGAAATGCCAACTTGGAAAGTAAAATAGTGGTGTTTATGGACAACTGAGATATGCTATAACATAAAAGTATGTCTTTTGAATGTAAAAGACCAAAAAATATCACATCCAAAATGTTTTGTTATCTCTTTACAAAATATAACCAAAATGGGTAAAATATTAGCTATATTCGCCATTTTCGGATAGGCGGTCATATTCAATGGGGCCAAAAAACAGCATTTTGGATGTGAATTTAACTTTTTTGTTATTTTTAGGTTAAAGAAAGATAAAACTTACTAAAAATAAAACTTATAGGATAATAGCAGTTAATCGACAGAATTTCTGAGGGGTGCGCCCTATCAGCGCACCCCCGGTCATATCAACATGAAAACCCCCCGGTACAAATAGGGTTAAAGAGAGGAACGAGCAGTTTAAAGATTTTCAGGCAGAAAGAAACGAATTTCAGAGGATCTATAAATCTAAGGGGTTTGCTTGCTAATCACGTAAATATAAACATAAATATAAACGGACGTTGATAGCATGAATTTTACAGTCAGTTGGTCTTGAGTTGGAGTTTGACGTTTAATTGTTTAGCAAAGCCATACTTGTGTACATTTAAAATTTAATATGTTGAATAAAATTGTTGAGTGTTTTAGGTTTTCTGCTTGCATTAAATATGGAAGCGGGAAATTTAGTAAAAGACAAAGGATTTCTTTGTCTACTAATCATCCCGTGCATTTTTGATGAAGGAAGATTAGTAGACAAAGAAATCTTTTGTTTTTTACTAAATTTCCCGGGGAAATTTAGTAGACAAAGCGAAATATTCCCTGTTGCATGCGTAATGAGGAAAATACGGGATTTAAATTCCCTATGAGAACAATAGAAAACGAGGCGATCATGATATTACCTCGCTTATCGGTTGAGAGATTTGAGTGGTTTTAGAAGGTGAATCAGTTATACACGGCTTTGCTTCTCAGACGTCTTAGATTTCTTATTCGAATTTTTCGAATTTTTCGCTTCAGTGTATCTTGGTTGCTGATATTTACGTTACTTGTCAGTTGGTAGGGCATTTACACAGCCTGGTTCAATAATATCATGATTGATTACATCCACATTAACTTCCGCACCCGTGTTACTTGGAGGTTAATATCCGATTTATTATTTAGGAACCTAATGACTGTAATTAAGCTAGCCTTCTCCTCTTCCGTAGATTTGACCTTTCCTTTAGGCCAGCTAATCTATAACTCAGATTGTTTAAACTTTCATGTGAAGATTTGTTCTCATTTTTCAAATATTGTTCGCGTCTTTTAAATCGTTATTTTCCTTTATAAGTGCAGAAAATCCACTTTCCTTGTCAGCAATTCTGAGTTCTTTAAGCTGGTTAGAGTGATCTGATAACGCCCTATTTATGTATGTCTTGCTCGATACAAATTGATCGGATAAGTCTTGTAGTTTAGCTTGCAACTGGCAGTTAAGGATTTTAAGATAGGTCTCTTGGGAATCGTCTAGGTCATTATTTGGGTGGGATTTATTGTCGTTATGGCTGACTGACCTGTTTTTGTCAACAACACCCACGAGCTTGCCCTCGCCGTTAGATAAACCCGCTGAAATTGAAACTAATTTCATCAGCTTCTCCTTGAATTCCTTTTCGTCTTTACCACTAATGGTGATCGATTCGGTATCAGAATACCAGTGGATAGAGATGCTTTCATCTTGGTAAAGCTTTGCGTATCCTCCCGGCGTGGACCATTCACCGTCTGACAAAACCAAAACTTCTGCGACAAATCTTTGTAGAGCCTCAAAATCGGCTGTCCATTTGAGCTTTCCTTTGCTGCTAGTAGATAAATTATGTAGCAGACTCATTCCAGTAACAGATTGCTCTGTACCCATCTTAGATTGGGTTGGTTTTAATGACTTTTTAGACACAAAAAAGGAGCTCCAAACCGAGCACCGTACTGTATGACGTACTATCAATTTATTAAATGCAAGCGGACTAATGAACGTGACAACCTAAAAACTAGAATTATAGTCTACATATGCAAGAAGTAGTATTATGCAAGAAATTAAACCAAAGGTGACTGTCGATAAATTTATTGTATAAAACGTTTTTAACTTAACCATACAAATATATTTTTCGTGGGTTTATATAATCCACGTTTTTGTCAATAACTTTTTTTTGCGCAGCATGTATAATTTTTGCGTTGACTATATTTAAGGATAATGATTTACTCTACAATTTAATCGTGTGCAAATGCTTAACTATTGTATAGTTTTCTTAACTTTTCTGCTTTAAGTTCGGTATTCGACAATTTTTCAAGAAATGTTCACACATTTTAAATGATACTCGCCTCAACCCGCCTCAACCTCAACCTCGCCTCAACCTCAAATGTCCACGCGTTTTAAATGATACTCGCCTCAACCCGCGTAAATTTTGGAAAGCTATTAAATCAATTTTCCCAAGCAAACCAAATTCAGCTAACTCAACTTCAAATCATGATACCATGCATACCAAAGTGCAACAATTTGGCCATTATTTTGCTAATGTTGCTCGAGAATTAAAATCAAAAGCTTTTCCTTTGGTGAATTTTGCTTGGCGTCATAATAATAATATACAAGCTTTACGTACGAACGAAATTTTCAAGTTTTCATTCGTTTCTACAATCTTTGTCGAGGAAGAACTCCGATCATTGAAGCGAAGTAAAGCTACTGGTATCGAAGACCTCCCTCCAAACTTGATAAAGGACTGTGCAACTGTGATTGCAAAACCCCTGGCACATATAATAAATTATCAATCAAATCAAGTACGGTGCCAGCTTTGTGGAAATCAGCTAAAGTGAAGCCTATATTCAAATCTGGTGACTCAGACCTAGTAGAGAACTTTCGACCAATATCGATACTTCCGATATTTTCCAGGATTCTGGAAAAGGCAGTCCACCGTCAATTTTACAACCTCTTGAAGAATAACAAACTGTTGAACGATTGCCAATTTGGTCTTCGTAGAAACAGATCTACAAAGCTGGCTGCCACATTGTTTTGCGATAAAATATAAAAATGGACAACGGAAAACTCATTGGGTGTGTATATTTGGACCTGTCCAAGGCGTTCAACACTATCGGTCATGGTATTCTCTTGGACAAGTTACCTGCGTATGGTGTTGTAGGCCCTGAACTTGCTTGATTTACAGATTACCTATTCCATAGAACTCAGTTGGTTGAAATGCAAAACACTTGCTCCAGGCCAAGCACTATTACCACTGGAGTGCCGCAAGGATCCATCTTGGGTCCTTTAATGTTTATAGTGTTTTTCAATGACCTCAAAGAATCAGTTAAGAATTCTGAAATCATTAAGTATGCGGATGATACGGTAATTCTATATGCTGATAAAGATGCACAAAATATTGATGATGCTTTAAACGAAGATATGAATCTGATTAGGGATTATTGTTATCATAAAGAAAACCTAAATATAACGTATAACAACACCTTGATAAACTTCGTGACTGAATATGTGTATCTTGGAAATGTGATAGATAACTATATGTCATTGAATTAAAATTTCAACCGATCATACAAGAGAGCAAACGGTCGTCTTCGTTTACTCCAATCAGTCCGCAGAAATTTGACAGCGGCGTCAGCTATTGATATCTACAATATGATGATACTACCAATTCTAACCTATAGTGGTACCATCAAAAGAATTTTTACTGACTCTCAACTAGCAAAGTTTACATCGTTTGAGAGACGCGCGTGCAAGGTGATTGGCACCGAATCTATACCGAATACCAAAGAACTGGTGCAATCGCAAATTTGTTCTATGGTAGAAAAGTGTCTCCAGAAGAATTTTGAACATGATACACTCGACAATTATTTTCAAATGGTTAATCATGAGAAAGAAACGAGAAACAACAGCATTCTATTAAACTGCCACGAATTAAGCTGAAATTAGCTAAGCAGAGCTTCTACTTCGGTGGAGCAAAACTGTTTAATTCATTACCAGCAACAATACGAAGACCTATGATTTTGAAATAGTTTATCTTTCAAGACATTTTAACTTTGTAAATATTATATTTGTAAGATATTTTATCCTATTTGTCCATTCTTATATAATTATGTAATTTTTAGGCTTTATTTATTAACTTTTTGGCTACCTATTTCTGTTATTCTTGAGACTTTACAGGACAAACATTGATAGCAGTTTTTGTAATTATTTAATTTTTACATAACTGACGTTTTTATCCTGTTAAAATATTCATCAATAATAATAATAATAATAATAATAATAATAATAATAATAATAATAATAATAATAATAATAATAATAATAATAATAATAACCGGCCTCCCAGTCTTAAACGGTAATTTTTAATTTAAATTCTGTTTCTTTTTAGATTTTAAATGTTAAAAACTTTTTATTCATATCTAAACTACCCGTCCATTATATTTTTTTTGTTTGTTTCAAATACCTTAAAGGGTATTGGCAACAAAAATTGCTTCATCTATCTTATTGCTTCATCTGAAAGAGCATGAAAAAATAAGCCGATTGGCCGTTTAATGCTCTATTCTATCTCATCTAGTTCAGAAGTTATACGCAAAAATGTGAAAATATAAATTGCTGATTCAGCACAACGTGTGACGTCATTAGCTGGGTAAGTATGTTTATTGAATACTACACTGAAGCATAGCTCAGTTATTATGGGCCCAAATCAAATGAAATTTTGCATACTGATTGTACATGATGAGACGCATGGAAAAACACTTCTAATTTTGTTGCCAAGGTAACAATGTCGTTTCCAGGCCCCTTGCGCCAATTTTATGAAACAGCTTTATTCAAGGTACTGATAAGAATAAAATAATATCAGAAGTATGTGTATGATACCTATGCATGCCAAAAGTTTACTTGCATGATAATAATTCGAAAATGACATACACATAGATAAATGCAACTAGTTATTCAAAATCAGTGTAAGAGGCCTGGGAACGACTGTGTTGCCTTGACAACGAAATTAGAAGTATTTTTCCCATGCATCTCATCATGTACTATCTGTATGCAAAATTTCATTTGATTTGAGCCAATAATAACTCAGCTATGCTTTAGTTTACTATTCAATAAACATACTTACCCAGCTTATGACGTCACACATTGTGCTGAATCAGCAATTTATATTTTGCATATTTTTGCGTATAACTTCGGAACCAGATGAGATAGAATAGAGCAGTAAACGGCCAATCGGCTTATTTTTTCATGCTCTTTCAGACGAAGCAATAAGATAGATGACGCAATTTTCATTGCCCATACCCTTTAAGCTATATATATATATATATATATATAAATATATATATATATATATATATATATATATATATATATATATATATATATATATATATATATATATATATATATATATATATATATGTGTGTTGAGTAGTGTAGAACACTTGCAGAACTAGTATTGTTCGATGCTGAATTAATATAAACGAGTATGTTTATGACATTCAGTATATATGTTTATGACATTCAGTCACAGAATAGGAAGTTATACCAGAAGCGTAACTCGAGCAAATATTTGTCCGCGTTTTTACAAGCGATTCGTCATCAATCACGCCATCCTGGCTAGTACAACCGGCACTTTGTACCTACCAAATCCTGATAAAAACTTCCGGCTGTACTAGCCAGGATGGCGTGGCCTGACGTGAGCGAGTTAAAAATTTTCGTGGACGTCAAACAATAAGGGAAACGACTAGAGTTACGCTTCTGGTATAACTTCCTATTCTGTGACAATATGGCCATATTTTAATTTTTTTTTGTTTTAAACATTCCGCTCGAAATGGCTCAAATACAGAGCTTTTATTGAGCGAAATTGTTACTTATTGTAAAGACAAAAGATCAGGGATGACTGGGAAACATCCAGGTAAGAATTTTTGTTATGTTTTATATATAAATAGAGCAATTTTGAAAGGAAATATTTACTATCTTCATTCGTGAATTTTGAGCACATGTTCCGGCTTAAAATTTCAATTTGCTGCGACAATATTTGAATTAAAACAACATTAGTTTTATAGAATGGCTTACATTTGACTCAGCCTTTATATTTATAAATGATGTTTATTGTAATGCCAAATAGTATACCTTGATCTTTGTGTATACTATAGTGTATATGACAGATTGCCAGATTCCAGTGTTTGTTGTATAAAATAATATAGCTTGACATGATGGCATCTACTCAATTCTCATATGCCTACCCAGGCATGTCCCAGCTAAACATGGTTTGAGAAAATTTATCGACTGGTTTCAAATTAACTGGTACTTTCATAAGTTTCCAATATTTTTCATATATATATATATATATATATATATATATATATATATATATATATATATATATATATATATATATATATATATATATATATATATATATATAGGTGGATCAGTTTAGAATAGATCAAAATATCAATTTGATGTGTTGTTGTCATATGTGGCAACTTGATTATAGACATGTCCCTAACTGGAAACAGTTAGTCTTTAGTTTGCTTGTTCAAACTTATGAATACATTTAGTTGTACACCACATGTCTTCATGATCTGCTTAATAATATATGTAACAACCTTTGGGCTTCATTTTATATATTTTAGAGACACCCCGGCAAGGGTTTGATTGTTTTTGGAATTACCCATTTCACTCCAATGAGCCCAATATTCAGCACTTTGTTATTAAATGTTATCTTGCCTAATGCCGGACAATTTTATTCATCAAGGGAAGTGTCTAGCTAGCGTACTAGACTCTGCCCATGTTTCATGTTGACATATAACACTTCCTACTTAAGTACTTTGATATTATTATTTAACTCTGACATTTCATGGTAGACAATTTTACTTACCGACTGTGGC